TATCCCGACAGACTTTGTCACTTCCAGCTGAATCTCCGCATTACAAAGACCTGGATTAAGATTACAGAATCTCTGAGGAACTTTTCCTCCTGCCTGTTCCTATCTAAGCTCCGCTTAAACATCCTCATGTACGGCTGGACGATGTGGGACGATGTGGGAAAACCTGACAATATAACATCAGTCCAGGAAATATCAGTCTGATGTTGATAAAAACAATATAAAAGTCCAAACTTTAAAATGAGTCATTTTGTTTTTTTAATGATGCTGCTCAGATCGCTCTGCAGTATTTTTTCTTTACTCGTTTTCTCTGGTTTCTAAACTCTGAGATATCTTTCCATTTCTACGCAGATGATGTCAGATAAACATGTCAGTGAAAACAGGAGCTTCTTTGATCAAGCCAACATTATTATGTCTGGAAAACATTAAAGTGTGGATGGCTTTGAACTTTTTAAACTCTAAATGAAAAGAAGAAAGAGGAGATGGTTTGGTGTCCCAGCAGCTCCTTCCAATCGTCTCCTGTTGATTTCGGCTCTTTGGTGTCTTACTTGAAGCAGACTGTTTCTAATTGGAGAGCTCGTATCTGGGCTTCCTCTCCACTGTCACTCTGTGCATTTTATAGTCTTTTAGGATTCTTTTATTGGTTAATTAAAGTTTGCATGGTTCCACCTTACTTCCTGTTTCTGCTTGTTGTTGAGGTCAGATGATCAGCGGCTTCTAGAGATGCTGAGGTCTGAAGTTCAGAGGAAACGGATCGTTTAGCGTTTCCGCTGTTAAGTTATGGAATGATTTCTGTTGCATATTTAATTATTGCTCCGTTACTCTCCATGTTTAAAACTCACCTAAAGACAATTTTTATTCTTTGGCCTTTAACACTTTGCTCTCATGGCATTTCATGTTTGTTAATAAAACAGGATCTTCCATATTTTGAATGTTTATTAATGATTGTCTTGTAGAGCACAGCTGTTTTAAAGTGCTAAATAAATAAAATAGTAGCAGAATTAAAATATAATATGTGGGTCATTTTTACATTAAGGTATTTTTTTAGGTAATTGTTTTGTTTCAGGAGCCTAAAAAATAATTTCCTTGCAGTTTTCTGAGTGGTTAGGTATTAATTCTGTTCCTCAGTCTAATGATAAATAATAGCTGTTAAAACGGCAGCAACCAGGACAGGTTAGCAGGTAAATATTCAATTAATCTGGTTTATCAATTAGATCTTTTGAACTGTTGTGTTAAACCTTTAAATCTGATAGTATTTTATTCAATATATGAATTTTTGAGACATTTGCATCATCAGGAGAAATTTTTGTTCTTGAAAACCCTGATTTACAAAATCAGACACTAGTGAAAAATTATACAGATAATGTATCAAAAGTAATAAAAATAACTGCCCTAATTTATTATTTATTTTTTCAAAAAGTATGTTTCTATTATTTCATTTGTCAGAAAGTTAGTTAGCTAATAAAAAAAGAAATTTGTCAATCATTTCCCTTTTAAAGGGTTAATTTGTGAATAACATAAAGCTGCTGTGTGACAGAAGAAGCCAAAAATAACTATTAAATAATTCTAACCTATAATCAGGGCTCTATCACACACAGAGATGCAATTACATTTGTTAAAATGATCGTTATATTGTGGTACGGTTTGCATCTAAAGGAGAGACGTTCTTTTCAGTTATGGACATTTTACAGGCATATGAGAGACTGAGATACGGTGGAAATCATTTCTGATCTAAATGTGAAAAAAGAAATTATTGAATTAATCTTTTTCTTAATTTCTGTTTTTTATCTCATCAATAGAACAGTGAGATGGCGCAACGGCAGCCCCCTGCTCCCCGCACTATATGTATGTATATATATATATACACACACATACATACACACTCACTGGCCACTTTATTAGGTACACCTGTCCAACTGCTCGTTAACACTTAATTTCTAAGCAGCCAATCACATGGC